CCCCCCCCCCCCCACGAATCTGGCATTGACAAACCTTAGCCTTGTCACACTCACTTGCTCTGCTTGCTCGCCTCTGTCGTCATTATGGTTCGAACTGTATTCGGCCTATCAGATATTTTCAGCTACTTTCCTCGTACAGATAACCACCTGATGTGATAAACTGAAAAGAAACTTATTCGCGGATGTCTTTTTCCACAGCTGTCTTTCAATTCTGTAGCTAGTATACCAGCGGGCTGTGATCCCTTACTCTGTTTCTTACCCTAGTGGTTTCTGTTCATAGGATCTCATGTCTGTAATCGAAACCTCTCTTTGGTTTACGCGCCCAACCCGCAATCAGATGATAATTTATCAAATGATCAGTTCGCTATCAACGTCTGTCACGGTTTCCGGATGACGGTGAGTCAACTGTCACAGAGGTCGATAAATCCTAAAGTAATAACTCGCACCTATCGGATATATAAAAATACCATAAAACTTCGTGTTTCTTGCACGCCTCGGGTGGTTAGCGACTCCAAAACCCGGGGGTTACGTAGCCGGTTTTCATTACCGATCAGTAGGTGTTAGCGACTAGAAGGTCCACCCCGCCTGTTGTTTCATCACATGAATTTGCGTCATAAAAAGGACTATTGCTATACACATCTAACACGAGCACCCGTTTTGGTCTAAAGATACCAACACGATTTAGATTATATTTAATTTCGACAACAGAGGAAAAATGATTAGCTATTCGCTGGTACAAAACAACGCTGCAAACGGGGGGATTGACAGTACAACAATGGCTTAGTTACTTCTAGAACTGAGTACCCCGGTCATTAGCCATATGCGTTAAATAGATTATGTCAAACCACTGGAACCAAACCGGTATCAAAACAAACGCAACGGCGTGAAACGCTTCAGAGACACTTCCGCAGCACAATAGCAGATAGACTCGCAGCCCATACCAAATCTGTGAGTTTTATTTCTGTCGAATGGCTCTTCGTCAAATTAAATTTAACAAGTAACAATGAGTAAAACAACGATGAAATTCATGAATTACTACTACTACTTTGTTAACAATCTCAAAATTAGAACTTGATAGTGGTCATTCCACGGCTATAGGACAATCAAGACAGAGAAAACTTACTTTTATACCGGTGTTTGTAGCGTCTTTCACAGCTTCGACTAAGGTGTCGAACTGAGGATTAAAATGTACGGTGAAGGCACAATCGATAATTCGACCTATTGGATATGAAGCAGAAAATTCAGTTCAAGTACCGTTGACAAACAATTAATAAAACAGGGGGGAAACATATCACAAAACTTTTAAGAATTCAAAATAAAAATTCATTCATTTAGAGTAAAGGATAGCTTGGTCGCCGGACTTTCAACGTTCCATCAAATTTATAAATATTTGCAATTAATTCATGGACTAACTGTCCATAGTGGAAGGTTCGAAGAAAAGAATGTTGAAAAAAAACAGCACAACCGAGGCAGTATCACTTTTGTGTATTTATATTTCACACTGACGAGAGGAAATCCCAGGTGCCCTGTACCTACGTCCATCTAGCGGTTTTTATACCGGCGAACTGCCCCTCGTGTTTAGTTGCTGGAGTGACCTCTCCGAAAGCGAGAGTGGATAGACAAAGAAAGCCAGGTGCCCAAGAAGCTGGCCTTGTGAGACTGAGCTTCGTCTGGCCTCTATCCATTGACCTTCCAGGCATGAGTGAGTCTGCGGCTGTGAGCAGACATCGTGTATAGCTCGCAGGGTCATGGAGGTACGCGAGCTACCACACCACGTCAAGATGCAGCCTCATGGTGATGGTTTCCATCAATTACCGAAATCGCGCAAGTGACTATAAAAAGCTGATGTATGCAGTAGTGGTCACATCCCGGCAAACCGCTCAACAGGTTGGATAATCCATATCGACGATAATTGACCCCCAAAAGCTCTCGGTGGAACAGCGCACGGCATGCAATGGTAACTAGTCCTCTTAGTAGGACACGTGGATCCCTGGGTTGCAATGCATCTATCGATGCATCAAAACATGGTCGCTCTAGAATTTACAATAAGTTTTGCAAAAGAAAGAGGTACGCCCTCGAAGAATGCAGGATGACGCTGACGACATCGTGCACGCCAAACTCCTGTGAAACTGGCTTATCCTTTCAAAACAGCCAGCCGCGTTAAAATAAAAGTGAGTACAATATAAATTGACTTGTCAGGCGTATGGGCAACAAACAACATCAAGTTAGACTTTCCCCGGAGCACCGAAACCTTGGTCATGGTGCAGAATAAGTACGCAATAGCAAAAAACTCAGTGGATGATGGTATAACGTTTCCAATCAAATTGTTTAGCTCAGAGATTAGGTAAGACCAATGAAAATTCAGGCAAGCTCAGATAACCGAGTTTATTTGTGAATCCAATAAAAGGCACGCATGTCTTTTGTTTAAAACACTGGGGTAAAATAAATCAAAACACTGAAAACATCAGTTGTCTTACCATTGACGTGAACTCCGAAGTCGATTTTACAGACATCATCATAACCGAGGACTGTGGTATCCCCAGAGTTGGGTGTATAGTGAGCAGCACAATGATTCAGAGAACAGCCAGTGGGGAACGCCAAGCCCGCTTGAAGGCCCCTTTCCAAAATTAACGCACGACTAGTTCGTTCCAATTCCTCACACAGTTCAATCATCGTCACCCCCGGTTTCAGCCATTTTTTAATGTGTTGCCGTGTTTGTCTATGGACCTCTGCTCCTTCTCTGAACTCCAAATAAGTTTCCAGATGAGCTCTGTCACGAGCTTTGCATTCTTCGGAAGTCATTCGATTTAACGCTGTTCGTCTAAATCGATCGAATAAGGTGTGGAAAAAACCTGAGAAATGGTGACCTGAACTAATGCGTGCAGCAGCAAATTAGACAATTAATAGACTGCAGATCACAAATACGGGACAATTAATCCTCCATTATATAACACGCGAAAGAATAAATAGA